AAGTAGTTTATTCATCACAAGTTTAACAATGAGCTGAACATTGAAATTAACAATTATAACATAAATTATCTATAAGACCGCCATTATTTTCACATTATTCATATCCTTTTATTAATGAATCTCCACAAATAGGTTCGCATTCTCCTAATACTAATTGAAACCCTATATCACACGAATTACATGCAATAGTATGCCATATATTTTAATTATTATTACATAATTTATAACATTTAGTTAAAGATGTATCTTCTGTAATTGGACAAGCTATTATTATCATTAATTTTAAATACTTGTACAAATATTATTTAATTCATAATAGCCAGATTAACATTCACATCTTAATCCTTTTAAAAATCGATTAAGAGAAGAATTGCATGTTAAGCAATCATTAACACCAGAACTAAAACATGTTTAACATGATAAATGACATGGAGAACATGCTTTTATTGAATCTTAAAAGTATGTTCCAGCTTGACATCGACAAGTTGTTTCTTCAAGTTGAATATTAGCAATATCTTTGCAACTTAAACACTAATTAGAATTGGGTCCAGTGCAAGTGTTACAAAATTAATGACATATTTAACATTAAGGATTTGATATAATTGGATAATATCCATCGAAACATATACATTACCCATTTTATAACTATCTATTATTAGTAATTAAACATTCTATACAATGAGTAGAACTTAAACATTAATTACATTCAATAGGACAATCAAAACATTAATTTGATTCTTCATATTCGTTTAATGTACATGTACATCCTAATTTACTTAAAGTATAATTACATGAACATGTTTAACAATTTAATTAAGATGTACATGTTTAACAAGATAATGAATCATAATATTAGTTAAGCACACATTCTGATTATGAAAATTATACAATTGTCGAATCATAATTACTATTCCATTATGTACATGTATTTTAATCAGAACATTCTATAAGCAATAAGGTTAACATTAATGAACAACTAGAAAATAATTATAGAATCCACAATAAGCATTAATTGGTTCATTATTAGGTCCAAAACATTCCCATTACATAGTTAATGTATTTGTATTATGTGATAATACTTAATATACTTTGTCCTGTTTAGTTTCATCTGATTAAGATGAATAAAAACTTTGTGCATTTTTAAAAACAGATGGATTATTCTCAATTGTGTATATAAATTATCCATCTGTAGGGAATTATGGTCCATAAAGGATATAAAATTGAATAGTTACACTATGATGTGGCTCAATTATTTGATGAACCCTTTTGAATTTTGCTTAAGCCCAAACAAAAGGTCCTCCAAAAATTCGAAATGATCCCCAATATGAATAAAAAATATCTAATCCTTTTAAAAAGTTGGTTCCGCTTTCAGACATTTTTTCATATTAGGCTTACTATTCAGGATCACTGGCTTGATCTGTATATTCTTAAACTAAATAATAAGAGTCTAAAAATATCTATCGTTATATTTTACATAATGTTTCATCATCAAACTCTTTACAATAAGAAGAACCATTTAATTTTTAATTTGCGCCTGAACAACTGCTTATGCAAATACCTTTATTAATATAATATCCAGAGGTACAAACTTGACATTTAAATGGTACTTCACACAATAAACAAAATTGAGGACAATATCCTGAAGTAATTTAGAATGAATCCTTCCCCATCCTGCTGCACCATCTTTATGATATTTAAATTTATATTTACGTATAATTCCCTACTGCAGAAAATAGAAATGGGTATCTAGGAATGTCAACATATGTAATTAAACTAAGTTTTTTGACAGAAGCATAATTCATGTATGAGGTGTAGGACATAGTTTCATAGAGTTTTAATTTATGTATTTGAATACCAGCACTATTTCTATAAATTGATCCAAAATAAGTATTATTAATCTTAAATGATATTCCACAATTAATAGGGATTTCATTATATGTATATATTTCAATTTTGATTCCAAATAAATAATTTCCATAAGGTGAAGTAGGTATTTTTTTGAAAAATTTATAAATACCAGAATTAAACTTAAAAACTCCATAATTAGAATTTTATGTTATGATAGTTGGAGATCTATCTATATGCTGTGGATCATATATTTATTCCCAATTTTCAGTTTCAGAGCTACTAAAAGAGGAAATATAACCTTATTCTATTGTATAAGCTATTATATTTAATATGTTAATTTACTTCCAAAATTTTAACAAAATCCCTTCTAATATAATGGTGAGTAGATATCACAAATATTCTTGCATCCAACATTTTTCTAAAAATATAAATTTGATGTTCAAGGTGGACAGATGTTATTCGCAGGTGTTCCATAATAACATCCTGTGCATTGATTAAATTTTGGACCTGTACAATACCTACATGAAGGATAGCATTGTAAACTTGATATATAAAATTTCTAATTGAAACTTATCCAATAGTGGTACTTGAGACATATACTTAAGCTTAACCTGTAGTAGAACCCGCTGTAATAATTGTAAAATTGACAGTTTTTGACGTCAGCAATAATGTTGTCACAAAATTCCGTTGTTAATGAATAAGTTGGAGGTGATGTATATGTATATGAGTATGAGAATGATCCAAAAACAAAGGTTACATCTTAAATTAACCATGTACCTTGAAAATATAAATCCACTGATACAAAATAACCATTCTAGTAAGAATAGAAGAAAAGATTTTATGTTAATAAATTTGCGTTATTTAGAGTTATGTAACTTTTTGGAGGAGTTGTGCAGGTGATAAAATAAGCAGCTGCACCTGATGTTGATTAAAAGTACCCTGTATTTGTATATGAGGATTCAGTAAATATCTAATTATTGCCTAAGTCACCATATTATAGTTGCCATTATGCTTAAGTTGTGGAAATCAAGCAAATCGGCACACAATATTAAAATTGACATTAATTAAAAATAACAGATCAACTAAAAATTGAATTATATTCTTATATATCAAAAAATATTATCTTAAGAAAGGTCAGTGCTTCATGATTTCTTTGTCTATCCATTAGATTTGTAATTATTACTAAAATTTAAATAAGAGGTTAATAATCATAAAAAATATTTCATAAAGAATGGAATGAATTTTATAATAAAATTAAACAATATGAACTATTACAATTAATTAAATATATTAGATAAAATATATTTTATATTATTTGATATAAATTGAAGTGAAAACTCAATAAAAATTTTATTGAAAAAGAAATAATTGCAGATAGTTGCAATTTGAATCTTATAATTCATAAATACACTACATAAAATGAATAGGGATGTCTATTTCTTTTATTAGTTTCAATTTTTGTATATTAAGAATGTATGTAGGTATAAATCTTGGTATTTTAAAAGATTAGAGAATTCAACATAATGTGACTGCTGAATTAAACCTACTAGTGGGCAAACCTGTAAATAATTATTGTAAGTAATACAAACACAGATAATTATAGATTTGATTGAGGCAACCTTAACATCATTTTAATTTAATCATAATATTATCATTCAAATTTTCATACTGCAATAAATTTTTAGTAAATAGATAATATAAATTAAACTTTGTATCTATTATTGTCATTATCTTATTTATAGAAAGCAATGACTTTTTTAATTCTATAGGAAAATAATAGAGATTAGCTAACTAATGACTTAATTATTTTATAAAATTTGATTGCATAAACAAATCCTTCATATATATAAGCATAATTCTTGAATTTTTATAAATCATTAAATTTAATGAGTTAAAGTTAAATGTAAAATTGAGAATGGAGAGCTCAAAAATATTTTCTCTCTAATTTTAAAAAGGAATTATTTAATCTAAGTTCCATCTTAATTTATTTATTAAATAAAATATTTATTATATGACTTAATAGAAATAGTACAGGATGCAGTGCTTAAATATTGGATGCAAAGATTCTAAATCTTAGTTTTGTCTTTAATGCCATGCCTGCTCAATGAAACACCACTACTTGAAAAAACACCTTTAAGTATTTGGATATATTCAAAAATCTTGTCACCAAATTCAAAGAAAATCTTAATAATTTTGAAGATGAATTGAATAGTATATTATGTAAGTTTCTAATAATGATATTTTTTAGTTGGTGATTCAAATAATGGATACGCGTTTGTGAATCATTATATTGTAATAGATTTAATTATTAAAAGTAAAACTGTAATAATTTGATCATTATAAATTTTCTAAAGCAACTATTTATGGTTTTCTTTCTAAATAATCTGTATATCAGAATATTCTTTATTCTTTATTAAGCAGAATGAAATCTTAAATTTTAAGAATTTAGTTGTTTTTTTATGTTTAATTTTTCCTGCATTTGGAACAGATGAATTTAAAGCCTAAATGGACGCAACTTATGTAGTTATAAATTATGATAGATTCATTTTTTATGATTGTACAGTAGGATAATTAGCATTAATTGTTTTAATGCTTATATATTTTATTTATTTTTCCACTAATTATTCATGATGGAGAAAAATTGTTTAAATTGGAAATTAAGATTAACTGTGCTAAGATTTGTAATTGCAAGTTAATGCTCTCTTGTATTAAGTTCCCTAATGAATTAGTATCAAGCACCATAGTACTAGGTTTAATAAAATTAAGCATAATAACTATGAGCAATAGAACAAAAATAACATTGTTGCCATAAAATTAAATTTAATAATAACACTAGTTAATGGATAAAATAACATATAAAATATTTAAAAACTTGAGCCTTCTTAAACTACTAATGATAATTTTGTTTTTCAAGTT